AAAAACAACTTTGTTAAAGAACAACAATTAAACTAAAAAATCAAGGGTTGATTAATTGTAATGCAAAATCTGAAGAAAGAAGAGAGAACATCAGTGAGGCAAAATTAAGAATCAAAAGGAAAAGGGGAATGAATTACCTTGAGCAGGACAATATTGAGGAGGGTAAGGAAAAGCACTCATATCTGCAGAGGGAAGGAACACAGAGAACAAGGAGCCAAACCTTCTGCTGGGAATTTATGCAGAATTGAAATCGCATGAGTTGGTTGCAACAGCAAAGAAGACGCGTTGGACGACTTTACACGTTGGACGACTTTTCTTTGTTGCAAGAAATTTTTACTCTTTTTTTTTTTTTTGGTACATAAATTTTTACTGTTTTGAGCTTAATGTATGTAGGGGTGGGCGTCGGGCGGGTCGGTGAACAAACCGATCATTTTCAATAAGTAACTGATTTTTTAATTATTTATTTTAATAATCACGACCCGAACCAAAATAGAGCGTTTTTTTATTAGTTTAATCATATTTTTTTTCCAATTTCACCCGTTCAGATCGGTTTTAACCCGCATATCTGTAGCTTTATTTCAATTTTAAATCATTCTTTTCAATTAGAGTTTCATTCTGCACTTTTATGATGAAAATCTTGAAGGAGAACAAAATTGGAGGAATTAATAAAGTTTCCCAAAAGTGAAACGAAATTGCAGGAGGTGATGAAGCTTCCCAAAAGCTGAACGGTACAGTCGGCAACAATTGAAAATAAATATTCAATGGGTGTTGGTTTTATAAGACTATTACGTGGTTTCGCGGTTACAAAGTCTAACAACCGTTTACAGCCCGTTGTGCTACGGTTTTCAGCATGCAAGCTGGTATGCTCCAGCCTGAAGCCATCAAGGCTCGACCCGTTGGTGATTCTGTGGGCGGTTTCGGTGCGGAACCGTGGCCCTGCAGAAAAAAACCCAGCCCTAAATGTATGTATTTAACTTGTTAAGTTTAGAATTTTTAATTATTTATTTTATATTATGAATTTTTTTGTTATTAAATTTAAAATTTTTAAAAATTTTAATACGTAAATTAACAAAATTAGATAACTCTCTACCACAAAAATGAAGATTCAGATAATATTTTTTTGTCGTGGGATGGCAATTAATGCAGGTTTATTTTT